AGGGGCGGAGGGCCGTTTTCAGGCTGGCTAAGCCCCCCAGTGAGTACCCTCACCCCATGAGGGTGTGGCCAGCCTGGGTGAGGGGCTGATGGCTCTTTGCAGGCTGGCCACAACCTCCAGCCACCCAAGCTCCCAGTGGAGGCTGGCAGGAAGCAGGTATCTGGGATTTATTTGTCTTCTATAATTGAAACTTTGTTGCCATGAGCGGAGGCCTCAGCCCGCTCAGGGCTGGCGGGAAGCTTGGCTTCCTCCATTGCCCCGGCAACCAAGCCTCCTGCTCGCTCCAGCTCTGTGGCTGCTGGCCGCCATCTTGGTTGAGTTAATTTGCATATAGTCGCTTTGATTGGCTGGTTGGCATGGCTTGGGGTGTAGCGAAGGTATGGTCAATTAGCATCTTTGTCTTTTATTAGTGTAGACTAGAGGTCTGGTGCATGAAATTCGTGCACGGGTAGGGTCCCTAGGCCTGGCCAGCGATCAGGGCCAATCAGGTTCCCTGCGTCCCCGCCTGCACGCCACCACTGCGCAGTTCCCCCTACCTCCCTGCCTCCTCCTCCCCTCGCTGCCACCACATGGTTCCCTGCCTCCCTGCCTCCTTCCCCCTTGCCACCTGTGCACCCTGCCACAGCTGCTGGTCACCCGCCATGTTCTGCACCTCCCCCTGGTGGTCAGTGCACATCATAGCAAGCGATCAAACTCCCATTTTCCTGGTTGAACTCCTGAGGAGACACTTTGACTAATTAGAATCATTTGACTCTTCATAAAATACCTCAGGTGTGTGGGTTACATTCACAAGACCTGCTGAGGGGCTCAGTTGTTCATGAGAAGGCTTCAGCACCCTGACAAAATCAAAACACCAGGACTCAGGCCCCTGGAAGAAAGAGCTAAGATGCTTTTCCTCAGACAGGAGCCAAGAGATAGGATTTGGCATTTTCTCTTTTTATTCTGCCATTTTGGTTTCGGCTGTCAGATGTGTTGTCTCCCTGCTGATGCACCTGCCTTGGGGTTGGCCTTAATGGGACCAAAGTAAAAGGGAACTATATATATATAGCCTTTTATATATATAGATGGTAATCTGATACATAAACTGTTTTCCTGAATTCTGTGAGCTGCTCTAGCAGATGATTGAATCTGAGGAGGGAGCTGTGGGAACCTACAATGTATTTAGCCAGTTGGTCAGAAGCACATCTGAAATGAGGGCAGTCTCATGGGACTGAGCCCTTAACTTATGAGATCTGACTTTATCTCCAGATAGATAATGTCAATATTACATTAAATTGTAGGACACCCAGCTGATGTTCAGAGAATCAGAGAATTTCTTGGTGTGTGTGTGTGGGGGGGGGAACCTAACACATTTGGTGACTAGAGTTGAGAATGGTAGAAGAAGAAACAGAAGTGTTTTTCTTATTCAACAGTATATTCACAATTTTTAGATCTTAACTCCAAAAGGCATGGTTATCAAAAAGACTTGATCCAGTCCCAGTATCTTTGGAGTATTCATGCATTCATTTGGTTTTTCCTTTCATTTATCTGAATTTAAAAATTGGATATGTAAGATGATATCATTGTAACTGTTCTTTAAGACCATTTCACCTTCCAAACAAACTTAATCAGTAGCTGTCAAGACTCATGTTACCAGAAAGACAGCAATGTCATCATAGTGAGTGCCCCTTACTAGCACAACCCTGCACCTGTGTCTTGTGAATTGGGGTGCCATAGCCAAGTGGCCCCCAATTCACAGGTACACAGGTAAATCAATCTTCAGGTTTTACAAAATTGTGACTTATAAAAATCATTATAGAATGACTCTGTTGCTTTAAATCATTTTTGTGTCTAAACTGTCTGATAAACCATCTTTTACTGTAATAGTTCTATCAGCCATATTTCCAAAATTTATATATTACTTCTTTTATTAGATTTTGCTGTCACAATAAAATATTTTTGGAAAATTATTTGTTTTTAACATTTAGTCTTTAAGAATATATTTCTAAAAAGAGAACTTCTAGATACTTCAAACAAAAAATTTTGTAACTATTTTTTCCTTTAAAATATTTGAGAATGGTTTGTTATATTTTAAAAATGCAAATGAAATAGTTTTATGTTATGTATTAAATTCACATAAATTTAGATAGGCAGCTTCAAAAACATACATCAAGAAATAGTGCTGTATATTATTTACATTATTATCTCACATCTCAAAATAAGAATTTCATGGCCAGTACTAGAAAATATTAAAATGACCATCCTCCTCCAATCTAAAGGAGGCAGCTGATGAGTGATTTATGAATGAGTAGCCAAATTTGTATAGCATTTTACTTTTTCAAAGTGTTTTCACATTGAGATCTGGGAGAAGTTTGGGGTCTATTGAAAAAGGGAAGTGTTTCACACATATTCTCATTGGAGTCCTGCACAAGTGTTGTGTCATCATCTCCAAGTTTTCAGGACTGCAATAAGGATCTTCTTTCCATTAGATATCTGTACACAGGAGATCAGCAGGCAGAGTTTATTTGTAGTAGAATTAGAGCATATTCTTTTGTTTGTGATATCAGCCTTTATCCTTCTCCTCTCAGCTCCTGCAACTCTGCTGAATTGCATAAAAGAAGTTTCTTGATTGCAATTTTGAAATTCTTTAATATTCATTCACTACAGGTAAAAACATTTTTTTAACGTTTTATTAATTTTTTACAGAGAGAAAGGGAGAGGGATAGAGAGTTAGAAACATCGATGAGAGAGAAACATCGATCAGCTGCCTCCTGCACACCTACTGGGGATGTGCCCGCAACCGAGGTACATGCCCTTAACCAAAATCGAACCTGGGACCCTTGAGTCCGCAGGCCAACGCTCTATCCATTGAGCCAAACCAGTTAGGGCAAAAACATTTTTTTAGAATAGGCCTCACATTGTGTTACTCAAAGAGAACCCATGACATTATATCCATTCTGAGTACTGAGGTGGTCCTACCTGGTCACAACACCCTATGGACAGCCACAGTATCCATGAACCCTGGACCAAGCTGGTAGAAGTACAGTGAGTTGTTGCCCCATCTTTGGCGATATATCTGTCCACCATGAAGCCAGGAAATTTCCAGTCTTGCTTATTAGACATTCCCTATCTAATGACTTGGCATTCTCATTGCTGGATTCCCTATATAAGCTATGAGACTTTCAGAAGCCTCTGCATTAATCAGAGACTCCACCTGCAATATGAGTGTGCAGCTGCACTGATAATGTTTAGTTCAGATGATCAACAGCATACACACATACCTGTTTCTTCTGCTCCTCTCTTAAATTCTCGTCTTTGTGTAAGGCCTTGGGGTCAATCAAAGGTTCATCTGCTCTTTGTCTTTTCCACAGTTTTGGGTGCTGATACCAGGATCCATACCGCATCTTCACGTGCTTTGGTCTAGAAGTATTCTATGGAAAATAACATAATTCCTGGTTTCATTCGTTGTTGGGTTTTTTGTTGTTGTTTTTGGTGTTTTTGTGTTTTTTGGCGGGGGGGGGGAGGGCATTTTTATAAAAATTTAGCTTATGAAAGCAATTTTGAATTTATTTTGAATTTATGATTTATCCTTGCCAAAGTATTTTATGAAGCTTCAGTATGCTTTGATTTACAAAGGTAACATGAAGAGTTTGAGATTGAGAAAATAATGTGGTGGTTAAGCATGGTCTTTGGATTTAGAGATATCTGGTTTCAAATCCAACGTCCTCCAGTTAGCAGATATTAAAGTCGACGGGCAAGTTACTTAAACTCTTCATCTGTAAACTAAGATAGCAGTACCCACACATAGGGTTGTTGGGAAGATCAAAGGAGAGAATTATATAAAGCAGCTAGAAATCATTAAAAATCACATATTTCACCAAAGGGTAATGACTTTAAACAACCTTCAGTCAACCAAAATGATAAGTTACTAGCCCAACACTGTGCTCAGCCTTGTAAAAATGCTATCCAACACCCATCTCTTGCCTCTTTAATTAGAAGAAAAAGGAGGGCCCTGGCCATTGTGGCTCAGTTGGTTGAGCATTGTCCTGATTCTCGGTCAGGCACATGCCCAGGTTTCAGGTTGGATCTCCAGTTGGGTGTACACAGGAGGCAAGTGATCAATGTTTCTCTCTCACATCAATGTCTCTCTCTCCCTCTCCCTCTCTCTTCTTCTCTCTTTGAAATAAATAAAAACATATTTTTTTAAAAAAGAAGAAAGAGGAAAACAACTAGATGCCATTCCTTTCTTTCTCCCATTTCTCAGTAGTGCATCTGTTGGTTCATGCTGGATACTATGGATACTATGGATGCAATAACCACATATTGTCTCATCACAAAGGGGAGGCGGGGGCTAATGCTTGGGAGTGACAAAGGTACATGAAACACAAATATCCGGCCCTTCTCTCTTCTCACTCACATTTAAACTATGAGGTGGAATGTGTCGGGCATCAAGGGTCCAGCCAGATGCACCTGTCTAAAGCAGAGAGAATGGAACAGGACAGAAGGAGGGAAATCCCTCTCCTCAGATCTACATTAGCATTGTGATCCCTCCGTTCCAAGCATACTGACCTTCTGGCTGTTTCTAGAGCACTCCCTTCATGCTTTCACCTCAGGGCCTTTGTACTCACTATTCCTTCTGCCATAATGCTTTTTACTCAACACACTCACACGACTTACTCCCTTACCTATTTCATGTGATCTTCTCAGTAGTATACTTCCTGACTACCCAGTTTAAAAATTATAACCACCTCACAATAGTCCTGTCTTCTTTCCCTGACTCATGTTTCTCAATAGCACTTATCACCATTTGAAAAGCTCTATGTTTTTCTGATTGTTTATTTCTCCTTTCACTCTCTAAACTGCAAGCCTCTGGGATTGTTCTGTGCTACATCCCACTGGCATCTAGAACAATACTTAGGATACAATAGGTGCTCAGTAAGTAATTGTTGAATTAAAGTCCGATTCCTTAATTTGGGCATTAGTGATATTTTGAGCTGGATAATTCTTTGTAGCATGCCCCAAATTGGGATAACCAAAAATGTCATCTCCAGACATTACCAAATACCTCGGGATTGGGGGGCAAAGTCCCCCTTGGTTGAGATCCACTGAATTAAAGGAAGGAGGGAAGGAAAGAGAGGGAAAAGGGAAGGAAGAATTATTGAATCTACACTATGTTATGTTCTTGGGTGACTGGTGTTCTTTCAAGACTCAGCACAAGCATAGTATCTCCTATGATGCCTTAACTGTGCTTGGTGAAATTGATTACTTCTTCTGTCCTGTACAAACCATGACATCATTTCATTGTAGTTAATCATTTACCTGTTGATCCTACTGGATTCTAAGCTCCTTAAGTGCAGGAGATAGTCCTTCATTTGTCCGAGCATTTTTTGGCACATAGTAGTAGATGCTAAGAATTATTTTTTGAATGAATATATAAACAAATGGGTGAATGAAAATACTAGGGTAATTCATTCATAGAGGCACCTAAGAGGCACAGATGGCTGTGAGAGATTAGCAGTAAGAATGAATCAAAGGACCAGGAGAAACCCATGGAACAAATTGTCATGTAAACTGTGCCTAAAGAGAGATACAAGCATGTAGACATTGGAAGAGGGTAGTTCAGGCAGAGAGAATATTGTGAGCAGAGGTAAGGTAGTGGGAAAGCTCAGAGTTTTAAAGAACACCAAAGAAAAGAGTACCGCACGCCTGAGAGAACATGGGGTAAAAAAATACACATGGGGACTTCCATCTGGAACAGGGTAAACAGATTTACCTTCCCACCTGCAACAAACAAACAAAAAAACAAACACACACACACATACAACCAACACAGTATTTTTTTAAAAATGTGTTTACGACACTGGACATCAAATAACAAATCACCATGATCCCTGAGAGGCAGGAAACCAACAAGATAAACCCCACAATTGACAGGGCTCACTGCCTGGATAGTTTGCAGCCCACAGTGCAGGGAGGGCCCAGGAGGAGCCCAGTGGACTTCGAGTTGAGGAGACAGCACTGAAAATCCAGGAGGATGAAGGCAGCTACAGTTTGCAGTCCAGACTGCAAAGAAAGGGAATTCCAGAGGTTTGCACAGAGTGTCTCTCTGTGCATGTGTGGGAGGAAATTACCAGAGGTCTGGGAAGAAAGCAACCAAAGGATTAGAGAGAACAGTGCCCAGCACGCATGGGGCAGGGACAGTGCCCACTCCCTCCCGGAACCTAAGGATTCACAGGGCACTGGGTAGAGTACACTGGGTCCTGCCTCAGCAGTAGGGAATCAGCCGTAGACGGAACATTACTTTGGTCCTTCACAACAGATCTTAAAAGCAAGACCCAAAGGATCAAACTTTTCCAAATAGCTTTAACTATAGCCTAAGACAGTGATTCTCAACCTTCCTAATGCCGCGACCCTTTCATACAGTTCCTCATGTTGTGGTGACCCCCAACTTCATTGTTACAAATTGAACATAATGAAAGCATGGTGATTAATCACAAAAACAATATGTAATTATATATGTGTTTTCCGATGGTCTTAGGCGACCCCTGTGAAAGGGTCGTTCGAACCCCAAAGGGGTCGCGACCCACAGGTTGAGAACCGCTGCCCTAAGACAAAACTCAAGTTTATAAGAACACAAAAATGCCCAGAACCCAAAAAGATAAAATTCATCTACTCAAATATCACCAGGCATGTGGAGAGGCAAGAAAACACAATCCACAATGAGGAAATACATCAAGGAGTAAAACATATGCAGAAAGAACAAATATAAGGATGACAGAAGATTTCTCATTGGAAACAACTCAGCCAACACGACAATGAAGCGACATCTTTAATAGCAACTCACACAGAACCAATAGATATGTTAGAATTAGCAGACAAGAACATTAAAAGAATTATAATTCTGTACGCTCAAAAGATTAGGTAGAGACACAGAAGATATATATATTTTTTAAATGTATTTGTATTGATTTCAGAGAGGAAGGGAGAGGGAGAGGGAGAGAGAGAGAAAAACATCAATGATGAGAGAGAATCAGTGATTGGCTGCCTCATGTGCCCTGACTGGGAATTGAACTGTGACCTCCTGGTTCATAGGTCAACACTCAACCACTGAGCCACACTGGCTAGGCCAGAAGATATATATATTTTTTAAACCCAAGTTGAACTTCTTAAGATAACAATTATAGTGAATGAGATGAAAAATACATTGGCTAGGATTAAGAGCAGGTTAGACATAGCAGGAGGGAAAAACATTAGAGAATTTAAAAATATAACAATAGAAACAGAGAGAAAAGATAACAAAAAAAACTCAACAGAGCAGCAACGAGCTATGAGACAACTTTATGCAGTCTAACAACATGTAATTACAGTCCTGGTGTTACAGAAAACCAGAGAAGAACCAAGCAATGCTTAGAGAGATGGAGTTACATTTATTATTATTATGTGTGGGCCCAGAGGAAAATGTCTCTCAAATTCTGGATGAAATCACACAGGAATTTCCTGTATTTATACCATTTTACCTTCGCTGTCTCCCAAATATGGGGTTTTTCCGGTTCCCTTTGCAAGTTCTTAAAGGACCCTATGTGCTAGGGCTTTGAGACCTCAACCAAAGGCTTGGCCTGATGCCAGCACTGCTAACTTTGTCTGGAGAATGTTTAATGGCCTCTCTGAAATAGGAATAGTCTCATTTTCCTTATTATTTAAGCCAGCAAGCATTTTCAGAAGCCAGAAATAGCAGGGTTAAAATTTCAAACAGCAGTTTTTATATAAGATGGATGCTTCACTGGGAGTTGGGTTGAGAGACCAACAACTGTTTTTTAAGAAATAACAGTAAAACTTTTTCCAAAACTGATGAAAACTATAAACCCATGGATCAAAGAGACTCAGCAAACCCCAACTACAAGAAATATACACCAAGGTATGTAATGATCACATTACTCAAAAACAGTAACAAAGAGAAAATGTTAAAAGCAGCCAAGGAATAAAACATATCCAGAAAAACAAAGGTAAGGGTGACAGATGATTTCTCACTGGAAACAACTCAACCAAGAAGACAGTGAAGCGACATCTTTGAAGTTCTGAAAACAAACCAGCAAACCAAACACTGGGAACCGAGAAAAATATAACAACAAAAAGATCTTGAAAAACCTATGCAGACTAAGGCTGTTTTCAGACAAACGAAAGCTGAAAGAATTCACCACCAGCAGAAGGACCATGTGGAAATAGATTTTGAACTTTTGCACAGTGACCTTCCATCTGCCAGTCAGAAGTTCAATTTTGGCAATAACCACAGTGGTTTATAAAGAAGAGTTTGTGCAATTATTTATAAGTACAAGGAATTGAGCAATTTCATTCAGGATAAGCAGGGGTTCAGGCCACAGGTGTGATGGACATAATTTTTCCAGCAACAGTTTGCATTTTACCCTTTAGAAAGATGAGAGGAAAATGGGAAAATTTAAAGAGTTGATATCAGTGATGGAATGTGTAGTTTTCATAAACCTTATGCAATAGAGTTAGGGAGAGAAAACATCATGTATGGTCAGTCGATTGTGTTAGATTGTAAAGGACAAGGTTAATATGTCCAAAATGTTGGAAATATAGTATAAAAAATGATGTGTAAAATACAGAGAGTAGCTAAAGATAATATATAGTTTTTCACTTTTAGAGAAAGGAACTATCTCCCCACCCCAACTCCCATTTAGGCACTCAAGTCTTCGTTGGATTGGCACATTTGACTTGTGTGTATATTTGCACTAACACATTGTGTAAAAAAGCAGAAAAGCACTTAGGGGCCCACAATACTTCCCTTTGGAATGTAGTGTGTTATTTCTCCTCTCTATTACCTTGTTCTACCTTCACAGGAAATTGGTATTGGGAAACTGAGCAAGTTATTAATGATCAGGCAAGCATGCGATCAGGAATGATGGTGTGTAGTCAGTTAGACTCCCCTAAAAACTCAAGAATTCTTTGGACATAAAATGAACAGTGTTCATGGTCATTAACTGCAGCATTTTACTGTTGCAATAATAAACATTCATATATATTTCCACTGACAGGATTTCAACATATAAAACACATAAAGAGATTATCTCAACCTAGAAAACACATAGAATACTAATGACTCTTCAGATATGAACAATAAAGCCAATTCACATGCCTTGATTGTATAACTGACTTTGTTATATGTATTAAATATTCACTCACTTAACAGATACTTATTAAACATTAAAAGAATTCAAGAACTCTACTGAAAAAGACTGGTGCCCCTTATAGTACCAGAATTTAAGATTTTAATAAAACTTTAAATTTGATCTTCAGTCTTCTCCCCTGTTGTAATTACCTTAGGTTCTGGCTCTAGTTCCTGGAAAAATTCTGACTCCTGCTGTTTCCTGAGCCCGTCTCCCTTCCTTAGTTCCCCAGGAATCTCGCCGAGCTTCATCGGGCGGAGCGTATTATGGCTGACTCCCCTCTCATAGTTAATGTCAAATTGCTTCATGATGTACTCTTCATCAATCCTCGAGCTTCCCTGGAAGAATATCACATTGCACAAGTCAAGGACGGATGGTGAAATGCTCCTTGCTTTCTTCTTTAATCTAAGGGAGGCATTTGACCATGGCTGGAGAAGAGGTAGTTTGGAGAAGGAGAAGCTCAGTCAGCATTCAGTGAAGACAAGAAGCATAGTTGACCCTTGAACAACAGGGGAGGGGGCTTAGGGGGGCTGACCTCCAGCACAACTGAAAATCCTATGTAGCTCCTGACTCCCCAAAAACCAAATTACCCTTGATATTTGCAGGGAGGAGAGGAGGGTTGGTTCTAAGACAGTGATGGCGAACCTATGACACGCGTGTCAGAGGTGACACGCGAACTCATTTTTTTGGTTGATTTTTCTTTGTTAAATGGCAGTTAAATATATAAAATAAATATCAAAAATATAAGTCTTTGTTTTACTATGGTTGCAAATATTAAAAAAATTCTGTATGTGACACGGCACCAGAGTTAAGTTAGGGTTTTTCAAAATGCTGACACGCCGAACTCAAAAGGTTTGCCATCACTGCTCTAGGACCTTCCCACCACACCCCTCACACACCCCACAACTCCCCAGCCTATCCCACCCCCTGCCGTGCTCAAGTCCCTTCTATAAAATGGTGTGAGTCAACCCTCCACACCTGGACTCCCAACCATGGCTAGAAAACAGTATGGGCATTTTTTTTTAAATCTGCGTATAAATGGGCCAGCACAGTTCAAACCATCTTGTTTAAGGAGGTCAACTGTATTTGGGGCCTGGAGGACTTTGCCTTAAGAGAGAATTTAGGACCCGCAAGAAGCAGTGAGTCCCTGAGGAAATGAATGGGCCTGGGGAAAAGTCAGTCTGTTTGACCAAAGAAATTTCTCCAATCCTTTAGAGCAGTGACAACCCTAGAGGTATTCTCCAGGCATGTCTAGAAAAGTGTTTGTTCTGCTCGCAGACCCTCATAAGGGAAGCTGCCCCATCAGGGCTCCCACTGAAGAAGGTGGTTTTAGTCACCCATATTTTGTGTACAGAACAACCCCTTCTGCTGCCTTCCCCGGGCACAAGAACATTTAAGATTTTAATATAACTTTAATTTTGATTTTCAGTCTTCTCTCCTGTTGTAATTACCTTAGGTTCTTACATATTTTGTGCACAGAACAACCCCTTCTGCTGCCTTCCCCGGGCCACAGCCGGTGGGAGTGGAGATGGGTACATAAAGAGTAGCTAATTGGTAGACTGACCCTTGGCCTATGATGTGGCTAAAAAATAGCTTAGATTTGAAGGGCAGCAGAATATGCCACTCCAAAATATGCCTCTGGCATAAGAACTATTTTGAGTTGATGGTCTTGAGACTCAGCAGACAAAACGGGAAGAGCTCTGGAAACAGGATAGAAGTTACCCTTTTGTAAGAGACATTTACATTTATAGGGAAATCTCCAGTTGTAAGGGTGTCTCACTCTCTGTACCAGGAAGAGAAGGAAGACTCTAAATCATAAGAAATGCTTATCAATGGAGAAGGCACATACTTAAGTCTGCATAGCAAACCTCACTCTAGTTTACCTACCTTTCCTGGTCATCTCCTTATAACTGGCTCCCCACACACGTCTTTCTTTTGTCTTGTGCTGAAGATGGTATTTAAGCCTGAATTCTAAGCCACCTGGGAGAGTTACTCATTTTCCCTTGGGTATTTCCCATGTATATATGATGTATACGTGTTAATTAACTTCTGCTTATTTTTCTCTTGTTAATCTGAATTGTGCTATAGGAGCCCCAGAGAGAACTTAGAAGACTAAAAGGAAAGTTATATTTTCCTCTTCTACAAACTCAACACAGTCCCACTTTAGAAAATATAAATTGGGGAGCACAGAGAGAATGAGGCCATTAGCAACTGAAGCTGATGTTGGGGTGGCATTCATAGAGAGGAGCCATGAAATAGAGTCAGGAACATAAAGGGAGGAGTAGCATCGAAACCAGGGTGAAATAATGATGAAGCAGAAATATAGCAAGCAGAGTCAGTGAGGTAAACAGTAATGCAGGGAAGGAAAGTATAAGCTAATGCCATGGAGAAAGCACCACAGATGATGTGATGGGGCCCTAGGGAGCATAACTGAGGTAAAGATGAAACCTTGGTCATAAGGGACTGAAAATCAAGCTTGTCACCTATAGAAAACACTTCTATTATAAGTGGTGGGAGAGTCATAAAGATTCCTTTATGACTTTGCATGACTTAGATGATAGCCAAACACTGTTTTTTAATAAAAGTAACTTTGAATGTGACTTTAAAAGTTGTAAGTATTACTACTAACGTACAATTGAAGCAGCCCAGTCACAGAAGTCTCTCACTGATTTGCGGACGTTTTCATTAGGAGTAGGACCATCTTTGTGGAGCGAATCCTTTGCACTGGGCTTCTCTTCAGAAAGCGATTGGCGTGGCTTCTTCGACAGAGGAGTCTTCTTGGGACTAAAGACAATGGAATCATCAAATATGATCACTACAATATGAGCCACCATGAATCCAAATGGATTTCAAAAGGTATCATGGGGGAAAGCAGATCATAAAACAAGTATTTCCAACAGTTTCTTGCAAGCTCACACTATTTAAATTTTTCAAAGATTCCATTCCTATTATCAATAACATAAAAAGAATGACATGATTAGTTATAACAATTAAAGCTTATATATCATTTTACCATTATAAGGTGATTTTTAAGATTATGAGTGCCAGTTATTAAGACATGCGCCACGTAAAAGCATAAATTGCTGTGCTTGGAGTCTGCCACGGCCTCAGACAATCTGGACAAGTAGGAGACATCCTTGACCCCTCTGTTCCTCATCCCTAAAACCTAGCCTATTAATAAGTCTGATGGATTTTAGTTCTGTCTTCTCTGGACTGCTGCAAAAGGCTCCTCTCTGGTGTCTCTGAATCTTCTCTTAGGATCCCCAACCCTTAATCCCTAACCTAGTCTCTAAACTGTAGCCAAAATAGTCATTTCAAAATATAAATCTGATCATAATCAGCCACTCTTCATCCTTGATTATACCCTCGTCAGTGGCTTCTTTTTAAGAACTGAGATACATTTACAGACCATAATAACTAGCTAATGGCTCACTGAGGGCCAAGAATTTAAAGATGCTCCCAGGGCCACACTAACCCACAGTTGGAGTCTCCAAGGAGATCCCTTCACATAACGCTGCTTCCTCTTCCCCACCCAGGATCTGAGCAACTTGAAAAATAATACAAATTATTACTGACACCAGCCCCATTGGAAGACATGGGTTTAGGTCCAAGAGGACTTGCTCACTGAAACCCAGAAATGGGTAGACTGTCCAATCCTGTCCTGAGCAGGGCGATTCCCTCAAGAAGGAAGAAACAGAGGAGAGCTTGCTTCCCAGTGAAAGGGGAAAGCTGAGATAAGTATCCTCAGTTGTTCTCCCTAAATTTACCAGGGGGTACACTCGGGCCAGAACAGTAGAGTTCCGGTCACCTTGAGTCTCACCCTCACACACATGTATAATTTAATACAGTGCATTTTCTCTCACTCCAGGTAGGTAACTTGTGCAACTAGCAAAGCTCTACATGTCCCTTCCGAACACCCTGACCATGGGTCAGTGGCTTCTTTTTAAGAACTGAGATACATTTACAGGCCATAATAACTAGCTAATGGCTCACTGAGGGCCAAGAATTTAAAGATGCTCCCAGGGCCACACTAACCCACAGTTGGAGTCTCCAAGGAGATCCCTTCACATAACGCTGCTTCCTCTTCCCCACCCAGGATCTGAGCAACTTGAAAAAATACATGAGGAACTGTATTAAAGGGTCGCGGCAACTTGAAAAATAATGCAAATTATTACTGACACCAGCCCCATTGGAAGACATGGGTTTAGGTCCAAGAGGACTTGCTCACTGAAACCCAGAAATGGGTAGACTGTCCAATCCTGTCCTGAGCAGGGGGATTCCCTCAAGAAGGAAGAAACAGAGGAAAACTTGCTTCCCAGTGAAAGGGGAGAACTGAGATAAGTATCCTCAGTTGTTCTTCCTAAATTTACCAGGGGTACACTTGGGGACCAGAACAGTAGAGTTCCGGTCACCTGAGTCTCACCCTCACAAACATGTATAATTTAATACAGTGCATTTTCTCTC